CCGACCCGGACCGTCTTCGCCGTCTCCGCGGCACACGCGCCGGGCGGAAACGAAAACAACACGGCTGTGGCGCGCAAATCACGGCGCGGAATAACGCGAAATCTCGGGCCGCGTCACGTCGAACGCGGCGTCCGCGCCGTGCCCGGCACGTTTCACGCGCGGCGACAAATATCGTCGCGGTATTGGACCCGCGGACCGAGAACGAAAAACGATCGCCAACTACTCGGGGGTTTTACTCTTCTGTTCGATACACACGCCGCGGCGGCGCCGTTTGTTCCGGCCGGACGTTACGGTGGCGATCGTAACGCTATTGTCGCGGAGCACCGCGATACCGTCGCCGCCCGCGCTGTCGGATTCTATTATTTCGTTTGGCGGTGTTGCGGAAATACGGCCGCCGACACGTACGTGCCCCGGGTTCCGTCGCGAGTCTCGGCGGCGTTATTGCGTTTTGTCGCGCGAAACGTTCCGCGATCCGACCGCGCGCCGCGGCGTGTGCCGCCGAACAAACGAGTGAACGGACGGCGCGTCGATACGGTGTGCCGCCGATGGGAGCCGGGGCGACGGAAAACCGAACACGCTCAAGCGCCTCCCGACGTGCACGGCGGTCGGCGAACATTCGATCGTGTGTCCGTTAATTCGTTTTGTATTTTTTCGTACCGACAGAGTTTTTCCGGCCGAGCGGCCAGAAGCGAAACGTCACCGGTGAAGCGCACGTACGGCGGTGTCGCCTTCGAACCCACGACCCGGAGACCGAGAGTCTCCCGTGCCCCGCCGACCGGGACGGCCGTCGTCGGCAATTATGTCGCGAGCCTTTTAGGCGCGACGACTGTCGCGTAACCGAAATCGGAATTCCGATCCGAAAACCGCGATGGTGAACTATCACGCTATCACGCGCGCGTGAATTCGATAGTTTCCGCCGCGAGACCGGCAGTAATTGCTATCGCCGCCGGACAACGGGCTGTCTTTCCGTGTTGTCGTCGTGTCGTAGTACTTTCTACACGCGTTTCTGTATCGAAATTCCCCGTACCCTCTATCGTTCTACGGAAGGTTTTTCTGCGATAGTTACCATCGCGGTAGTCGCCCCATAAATTGTCACGACAGGAACAATTGACACGCAGGCCGGGCTTCGTGATAAACAGAACGTATTTTTTTTTTTTTGTTTTTTCTTCGAAAAAATGATCTTGAGTTTGGATCTCACATACAAACGTGTCTAATACGTCGTATCCTTAATAGTTCCGAAAATCGTCGAGTATCTTGCATTGATATACCGAAATAAATGTGTTTAACATCGAGTATCTAGGTATCAATTTCGAAGTTACTCGCCCACGAGCACCCGAAATAGAAGCGAGCCGTGTAATTCGACCCGCAGTTTTCGAAAATTACATCGGTTTCAAGTGAATAATTCATACGCGGTTTGTTTTGGCTTGCCGCGCGCGCGATGAGCAATTTGATTGATACGTTGATTTTAACGTTGGTGTTCGAGTATTCGGTCGTCAACGACATCAAAAACGTCGGTGGGCATCTAATATCAAATATATCCGGTGTCGTAACGCTTGTCGCGCGAGTATCCGGTTCGCGTATACCGGTATTCCAGATGTACGCCGTAAACCGATTGATTTGGCGTCGAGTGTCCGGACACTCGTTTACCGGTACGGTTATCGCCCGTCCCCGTTCGCACGCAAGTGTTCGCGGTCCGGTTCAAATGTGTTTGTCGTTGGACAAAAAAAAAAAAATAAAAAAATGATATCGTAATATTTCCTACGGCCCGTACGTCCCTCGGCGTTCGACGTGTACGACGCGTTCGAAAACGTTTCGAATAACAACGATCGCATTTCCGTTACGCGCCCGCGTGCGTTCCATGACGCCGGCTGTGATTCAATCATAGATATTCAGTGTCAAACGCCGTAACGTTCGCGTCGTCGGTATTGTTACGCGCGGTGTGTCGCGCAAGAGAAAATAAATCGTTTACGATAGCGGCGGTGCGGCGAGAGTTTTTTTTAATAACGTTTCCGAATGATCGGGCTGCGGTCAACACGCTCGTCTCGTTCGAACGCGATATTATTTTGTAATTACTCCGTGTCTAGAACAAAAAAACAAAAAAAAAATCGCGTTATTTTTTTCTACGAGTCGATATCGGGAATCGCGTACACGACAACCGTTATCGTCTCGAACCGGACTGTTTGGACTGTTTGAAACCCCGCCGGGGTGGAAAACGCTCGGGTCCGACGGCGAAAACGCGCGACGTGTGAAACGCGAAACGCGTGAGAAATGTGCGCGAGCTTTTGAAAAGAAAAAAAAAAAAAAACCGTATAAAAACACGAGCGCGCTAATTCGATCCACGCGCAATGCGATACGTTGTTTTTAACGCGGTTTTCGGTCGCAGCACACTGTTTTTTCGGCTGAATTATGTACGTTATTATTTTCGTACGTATCGCGGGAATAATATAGTGGACAATTATCCAATCTAATTTTCTCCTCTCTTGGATATTATAGCCGCAATAATACCGAATGACTTTTAAGCTACATATTATCCACGGTTTTTATTATTATTATTATTTTTATCCATATAATAGTAACTCCATTAAAAAACATCTGGGCTTTGCAGATATTTTATCAGTGACAAAAGGAGTATTTTTTTATTTTTTTTTTTTTCAATACCAAGCATTTTTCATTTTATTTTATTTTTTTTTTTTTTCAGTCCGCCGTAGCGTACAAAAATAATACGTACCGTAAAACGAAGAAAAGAAAAATTGCGTTATCGGAGTTATAGCGAAATGATTTTGCAGCGCTGTATTATTATTTGTTCGTAATATCCTTATGTACTCTCCGAGTCTTCGTCTAATGGGAGTTTTGATGGTTATATATATATAGAAAAAATGCGTAGACGTATCCGGTATATTTTTTCCACTCGTCATTTATAGCGCCCGTACGTTTTTTTTTAATTATTTCCTCTTTCGATAACGTCCGTGTTGTTAGTTTTGCGTACGTTCAACCTAACCATACCGCACACTCTCGGTGTTGCCGTCGGTACAAGAAAACAACGGTGTTGAAACGACCGACGCACTCATCTCATCGCGGGTACCGCGGGCAGTCTCTGCTGTTGTAGCGGAGAAGTGTACGGGACAAGGGCGGGTTAGTTTATTGAGCGTAAACGGGCGATAAACCGTCGCAATCAATAAACTGTTACGAATCGAGCGCGGAAAACCGGCGGCAGTTTGTACGTATGTAAGTCGCGTTTTCGTGCCCCCCGTAAAACCGGCGGCGCGCGCTTTCCGCCGTATCTCCGCGTTTCCCGCGCTGTTTCCACTAGTCGTCGCAATCTTCGGCCAATGGGATTTAATAATTACAAATCAACGCGCAAATGCGTTTCCGATCCCTTAACATATCGTATTACAAAGCGGCGTGCCGATTGTCGGCCGGACGTGATTGTCTGACCGATATTGTGACCGCGGTAAACGTTAACTGCGGCCGGTAACGCAATGACGCCGCGGCCGCAGTCGACGATTATTCCAAACGGCGTTTTCGAAACGCCGCGGAAACGTCGTACCGTTGGACGTTTGACGAGAGAGAGAGAGAGAAAAAAAGAAAAAACCGCGGGCTATTCGACGGGCCGCGGTCGGCCGGTCGAGGTGGCCCCGATCGTTCGGCGGTTCGTCGGCAGGCGAACGGATGGCCGGCGGCCGTGCGGCCGCGACGTTTTGGAAATCAACCGCGTCGTCGTTCCGCGCGAAATCAAAATCGCACGACCGTTGTGTGTCCGTCCCGTCGCGCCGACCGTTACGGAATTATGAACGGCGTAAAAGCGACGCACGAACGCGCCTGTTTTGCCTATACGCGATGCCTGGCGACCGCGATAATCCGGACACCGGGAACCCGTCCGCTGTCGTTGTCGGTGGTAGAGAGTCGGCACGGTAGGACGCGTGAAATTATTTTATGAACACTCGCAAGCGACGATCGCTAAACCGTTGCTTATGAAAAAAAAAAAAAAAAAAAAAAAAACGAGATTCCGAGCGGAGTTCAGTTGATAAGTGTTACCCGCTCGACTCGATATGTACGTCGCGTTACGGTAAAACGATTGCAACAAATGTTCGCGTATAAAAGACTATTAAATATAATAAAAAGACATTAACGAAAAAAATAAATAAAAACGGTCGCCGATGACCGCCCTGCTTTTAATCTCTCGGTATTTTTTAACCGAACGAACCAGGTCTTCCTCGTTATCCCGAACGCTAATGAGAATTTCATAAAATGACGTCATTAAGTGAACATCAATAAAGAACATGTTTTTCTTTCGGGAAAACAATCGGAGTAAGATTTCTGGTAGAAAAAAAAAATATACATCTTTGTAAAATCAATATATCCTCCGCTAAATTCAGGGTCTAAAAAATCAGCCGGTATTCGGAACTTTCGGAAAGTCATTTTGTTTTTTTTTTTTTTTTTAATATCCCCAAAAAAGTTTTCTCGGTAAATCGGAAAACCGGGAAAAAAACGTAGGCGAAACGGGAAAACGGGTACAATTTCAGAGGAATGTTATTAGAGGAAATACAATAACGCGTGTGTGGGTAATCGTTTTACTATAACGACTCGCTCGCGTACGAATTAAGTCGGTTTTTTTTTTTTTTTTTCGTACACTCGTTTAAACCGGCGGTCACGTTCTGTTATCTCCGGTACGATAATCGGATATTTTCCGAAACGCCCGACTTTTCGGTACGCGGACTACGATATTAGATTCGTCGACCGACGAAAATATCGGCGCGCACGGATCACCGTGGCACTAACATACGGACGTACGTAGCGGCGGCGCAAAGGCATAATGTCATTATTGCAACGCGGGTATCGGCGGGAGGAAACCGAGACGCCGTCTGCTCGTCACGTTACGGATCGAATTACGCGCGATGAGCGCCCGGAACCGCGTACGCCGGCCGAATATGGAATTTCGATAAATTCGAAGACGCCGGGCGCGTCGCGTCGCCCGTATGCCCGCGTCGGGAACGTCGAACATGAAATATCGTTTTATGCGGAAAACTCGGCGCTGCTGCGACAACGGGCGCGCGTACGAACGCCGCGCGCCGTCGCGCGGCCGACGAAACACGACAATAACGGCGAGCGAGCGCCGCGTCCACTGGTCGACGGACGTGCTGTTAATTCACACGACGTCCGTGGACGTGTCCGACGGCGACATCGACTTTGGTTTTTCCGAAAACGTCGACGGGCGGGCATACGCGTTTCAATGCGGACCGCCGACCGAACGGTTTTTCCGGAAAAGCGTTCACGTGCTGAACAGTCGAAACCCGAGCGAAAGGTGTTCGCGTTATTTCGCTTTAAGTTTCACTAATGCCGCCGGGTCGGATAGAACATCGCGGTACCGACGGGGCCGGCTACCGGTTCCGTACGATTCGGCGGCCGTCGTCTGCGCGAACATTGAGCCGATTTCTCGGTTCGGTGAAATTCGCAGTGCCTGTTCACCGTATCGTTTGGGTTATTGCGATTTCGTTATCCCGGAAAACAAAAAAACAAACGTAACACGTTTAATCGGTTTACGTAAATGTTTTCAATAATTGTTTTACGCGGTAAAACTAAGTCAATTGATTGACACTCTTGCGACTAGGTGAAGTTTCTATCGCGTTTTGCACCATACGCGTTAATAAATATAAATATATAATTATATATACGAACAACGGACTACGGAAAACGGTGAAAACTCGATTTAGAATTATCACGTTGTACAATGATACGGATGAAATATTTATACCGGTAACCGAACAAGTGGTTATAACCGTAGATAACAAATATAAATAACGACATAATTGTATGCAGCGCAAACAGTTCGATAACTAGTGTACTTCATACAGTGTAAAACATGCGCGTGGAGTGCGGTGTTATAGGGTAGTGAAACTTGGACGATCGCCAAAGCGGAAGAAAACGGATTATTGGCTTTTGAAGCACGGTGTCGGTGAAGGACGCATGGAATAAGCTGGAGAGAACATATGACAAACGATGAGGTATTCGCAAAAGCTGAAGAACGGAGACGTTTCATGAATAGTTCGACGAAAAGAAGAACCGAACTAATAGGACGTATACTAAGACACAACAGCCTATTGAATAGAATTACGGGAGGAACGATAGTGGGAAAAAATGTAGTTGGTAGACCACCTCCGGACTACTTACGACAAATAATGAGGGATGTGGACGTCCCAGGCTATAGACACGTGAAGAGGAAAGCGGAAAATCGGGAAGAACGGAGAGTTGCAAAAAACCAGCCCCACGGCTGCTAACTAAAAAAAAAAAAACCATACAGATTAGAAGATAGATTACGGAACCAATATTTAACAGAACGGTTGGCGAACCCGTCACGGGGATAATAGCTTTTTACCGGGACTATGTATACTGACCGGATCATAAAAGTTGTATACAAACGGTTTGTTGTCGGGTTTCGATGACAATACATCGAGATTGTGTAATGAAAAATATTAAAAATCAAATAACCCTACACATCTTGTCTTTCTTACGGCCAATTTGCGCCGGCGGTACACTCGCGTTGCACACAGCGTGCGTATTTTTAAAGGTCGTTTGTGTTTTGAATATTCATCCGTAACTTAATTGTTTTAGTAATAAAATATTGTTTACCACAATTATAATCGATGTATAGATGTTTTTCAATTGTAATAGCTATAATGTAGTTGATATGCAACACGTATCGACTTAGATGCTGTAAAAACTAACGGGTTCAGTAAAGATTATGGCCAATCGGTTAACGTGGAACGTGTTAAATGCCGGTTCGGCCGTTCTACAACAAGGCGGCCGTGGTCCGAATACCGCAAATGACATTTTAATCTTTTTCTACGCGTTTTCCGAAATCTTCTTATTGTAACATTCGATTGCCTCGGTAACAATAAATTATATGTTAAATCATTAGTGTATTTTTTTATTTTTCAAGTAAACAACTTTTTCGATTCTGAGCAGAGCAATAAAAGTATTGGTTTTACAACGTTTATTATTATAATTTTTTTTATGTGAACATTTTTTCCACTAGAAAAATTACTCCGATTATCAAGTATGGCGTTTTTTATGAAAGAAAATGTTCTCGGGATGGTACTTTAAAGAAGTCATTTTTTTAAATTCTCATTCATATTCAAGATAACGAGGAATACCTCGGTCTTTTTGTTAAAAAATTGAAAATAAGGTTATCATTGGCAACCTTTTTTATTATTTTTTGTTATAATTAAGTTTTTATTATTTTTTTTTATAATCGTTTTTAAACAAACATTGTTGTCATGGAAACGCATATTGTTTTAATCATTTTACATCGATGTGACATAATAGTATATATTGTATTGTTTAAAAAGCAATACTTATCAACTGAACTCCGCTCAGAATGTTTTTTCGTTAGTAACGGTTTATCGTAGCTTACGGATATATATTAAATACCCACCTATATCCCGCCTTTTCCAATTTCCCACCTATAACAGTGGCTGCACCCACATATAAAGTATGTCCGTCCTTTTTTTAATACATACCTTTTAATACGGTTTTTGAAACAAAAAGTTATCCATACCCCCCCCTACCAATTTGTATCAAAAAGAAGTTAAAATGTAGGAATTCGATCGATCGAAATAAAAATTGTAATCAAACTAATATCGTTTTTAAATAGCACGGTCCTCAAGAGCGTGTCTGTCGTGTCAAGTCGGTCATGTGCGAATCGGACTTAACGCCAGTGGAAACAGTCGCGACAACTGGAGTGTAAGCCCGTCAAGACTGTTCCACATCGAATTTCACTCTGTGAGCTACGGGGGAGAGGAGATCTGCTTTTGAACACGCACAGCAGAATCGCGTTTATAGTGATAATACAGTAATGAGTCGAGTGGAATATACGAATGCGTCTCGCAGTAGGAACGACGACCTCGTTCCGGAGAAGCGATTCGAACCAATTTCGTCTCCGTGGCACGGGTGCCGTCGACTACTCCGCGACGCACGTATATAACACGAGGTGATATTTGTTATCGTGTACCAGCAGTTATGTCGGAGGACTATTGATTTTCAAACGGGAACCCCTCACCTCCTTTTCGAACACCGAATCGAATAGAGAATGTTTTTCTAGGAATTTCGGTATGCATAACACTCATGTCAGATTTACCGTTTATGAGTTGTAGCGATTTAAAATTTTGACCGTAGGAGTAGCTATGGGTAACAGACTGTCCATCTACAACCCCAGCTGAGAATCAAAATAAATACGTATTTATATAATGTATATGGAGTAGGAGTAAAAAATTGAAAATGGTTTTAAAATAAATCTTAAACGATTCCGTATAATGATTAGAAAAAAAAAAAAAAACAGAAATCCAATTCGCACTAAAAAAAAACTCCTAGATAATTTGCGGTTCGCGATAGAAAAAATCACTCTGTATTTCCGCGAAGCAGCGACTGATCAATCTGATATCGTCTTTCGATGTTTCGCGCCGTTGGTAAATACGTCGCCCCGATGGCCGCTCGTGGATCGATCGGTCATCCGGTAGGGTGTTTGAAAATAGACTTTTCGGGAATTGTCGCTCGGCGTACTCTGGAGTCCGGGCGGTCGACAGGTGGCCCGAGAGCCCAAACTCGTCGACGCGAGCCTAATGTGGGGCGTCCGACCCCCCTCGGAGTTCGAAATACAATTGTATTAATTACATAATTTATACGACTTTGTAATAATTCGTTGGTGTTTGGTTTTATTATACCCCTCCGTACGTCGGCGTGGTTGTCGAAGGGCCCGGGCAGGTTCTTTTTTATGGTTATATTTAAAAAAAATAAGCAAAAGTCATTCGAAACTTTTACTGAGATACTGCCTCTCCCTGATAAATTTCCTGCGGGGGCCCAGGCTCACCGCGGGTCGGTTTATTTCCCGGACGGCTTTCCGTTACGTCTTTATTTTGTAATATTATGTTTCGGTCCGCGGAATGCATAATTTCGGAACCATCGCAAACAAGACGGTCTCCGAAATCGGATTCGACGGTTTTGTCGTCACATGCTTCTCGGATAGGTTAGGTCACCGCAGGGTCGCTCCGTGTCGGTCAGCGGTGTATCCGGTGGGCAGGAAGATTTCGGGTCCGGACACCCCTCTCCCCCATATAACTTTACAGTAACAGCTTCTGTAAGCGCGAGTATAATATGTGTGTGCACCGATAGTTTGACTATAATTAACGTTACGATTTACGAAATGTAATCTGTTGATTATGAATTATAACTATAATTATAAATATTAGACGACAATTTAAAAACGAAAATTAATCTCCCCCGTCCCCCCAAAAAAATGTCTCGGCACACTCTTTGTGCCAGTACCCGGCCATATTGTATTTTTATCGAGTTGTTATTCCGAACTACGTGATTTTCGCATAGACGTTTATTTGGTTGGTCGCGTCACGCGCCGGTCATTATACGCTATTGTGCTAATTTTTTTCCTTTTGAATTTCAATGAGTAACATTATATTTAAATTCCGAGGGTATTAGATTCACTGTGCGCATTTTTCGTTTTCTTTTTTTGAGCGAATTTCCCATCGGATAACATGCTTTAATCAACGAAAACGCAGAGAGACTTTTGTTGGAAAATTTCGGATCTAGATGACTGATTGAAGTAGTTCATTTTTTTGATTTTTCAAGTGGTTTTCATAAAGATTTTGAACGATTAGGGAAAAAATGAATTCACAAATATATTCCATTTTTGTCGTTCACCCGAATTTATATTAAAATAAAAAAAAGCTAATCGTAACAATGTGGTATTTTAATAAGTATTTCAAGGTTTAATTTTAAACGAAAAACGTAAAAATTACGATATTTCCAATTATCAAAATTGTTTTTCGTTACCTAATGGTTTATCGATACTTACAGATATAAATTATAAAACTTAATATATCTTACCTTCATAAATGTCTACCTGTTTTAATCTTACGCTACCAAGTTATACGTTTTTTATTATGAAAAAATGTAACTAATCAAGTTACTTAATTAAATAATGTATCTAGTTAACCTAAAAATAACCTCTACCTTAACTACTAACCTTCTAACTAGTTAATGCCACACCTGCCTGTTGTAATCAAATGTAGATTAATTAAAAGCTGAAAACTAAAGGCTGTTTAATTATATTGGATATCAACAATTTTTTTCGACCAAAGATTAAGAAAAACAGTTATATAAATTTGGACATTGGGTCAAGAAGTGCCAGACTTCTTGTTTCTTGAATTACCTAATAGCTTTAAGGATTAAGTCGGATCCGTTACATTTGAAATTGCGTACAATTTTTTTTTCGACATAGGTGAATTCATTTTTCGGTATGTAAGTGATTGAAATATCGTCCCTCCGATGTAAAATTAAAATTTCCATGTTGCGCTAAATATCAAATTTTAATAAAATAAAAAATAAAAGTCTATTTTCGTCCCTCTTGACAAAAGACGCTAAAAATAAATAAACGGGAAAGACATGTCTCTCAAATCCGTCTACTTAAATGCGTTACTGCGTCTCGAGTCGATAGTTTTGTCAATACGACGACAGCCTTTTATTGAATCGATTTAAAACATGTACTACTATAATCGTAAAAATTCGGTGGTTTATCTATTTGCTCGTCATTGACGGCGATAGAGTTTCGGGTTTTCCGCGGTACCAACTAAAGCTGCGGCGTTAAATTATTAATTGTTTAGATTCGTATCACGTTCCACCTCGGGAATAAAAAAAAAAACAACGGAAAAAAACGCCGGTTCCCGGATATGATATTATTATCGACCTATGCGATATTCAACAGGGGACGATAAAAAAAAAAAACCGTCCGTATTACCCACGCGTTAAATAAAACTCCAATCATACTTTCGTGGGCGATTCCGTCGTCCCCCCCCCCCCCCCCCCCACCCCGCCCAGCGCACCGCGGATCAGCGACAACGGTTTCAGACGTTCGCGAGAAATATATTATTCAACTTGTACGCGAAATACCGTACGAAATCCTATCCGCGGTTCGTTATGGGGAAAAGCGACAATTCCGTGTAACGGAACGTATGGGTCTGTTCTCCCCACTCGTAAAATGAATAGAACATAGAGTCGACAACCGTTACCCGCACTCGAACGATATTATTCGTCGTCGGTACTGGCACGACGCGGTTTTTAAATGTTTTCCTTACGGGTGTGCGCCGTCGAATAGCCAACGTGACGGACGTGTA